TTGGGCTGTCAGCGGGGCGGCTTTTCGGGGGGGGCAGGGGTTGAAGGCGGGGCCCAACAGAGCATCAACATATTGCTCTGTCAGGGGGGTGGCTTGTTGGGGGGGGTGCCTGTCCCAGATACCCCCCCCCCCCCCACTTGACCTATGATTTGATATTTGACCGCTTGGGTTGCAAGACACTTGCTCTTTGGAACTGAAATGTCACAGGGGTGTCTCGTCAGCATGGAGACACCCTGGGCTGACAGACGCAGGCATTCCTGTGTGCTGCAGGGCAGAAAATGTGGGACGGGGTGAGTGAGGGGTGAGGCGGGCAGGCAATGGGGGCGAGTGAGGGGTGAGTGGGGCAAGAGAGGGCAGAGAATACATGACAATGGCGTTGATGTGGGGAGTGACATACGCTGGGGACACTGACCAGCAGTGGGAGCAGGGACCTGGCTGAGGGAGCGGGAGAGAGAACGGCCACCTGATATGATTATTTAAATAAACACCTGCTGTCACCGTGGTAACCCCTATGCCGCCTCCGCACATCCCTGCCCCCCCATGATCACTCTGACTGGGACAGCCGCCACGCCGGGTGGGGAGGGGCACGTCATTCCTGTTTTACACAGACCTGCTGAAAGTTCGCAGGCGAGCGGCAGTCCTGAGGCAGGCTGTGGGGTTTGGGGGGGGCTGGGGGCGGAGGCAGGGGGCGGGGGGGTGCTCGCTGAGCCATAGCTGGCCTGCCACGGCATGACAGGAATCAGCGGCACGAGCTCCCAGCCGCCAGCTCCCATCCCATTAAAGTGCCACATTTCTGCCGCAAAACAGACAAGTATGAAACAGCTTTGATAGATACACACTCAAATGGCTTATTGATTCCCCCCCGCCCTCCTATGGCCAGGGAAAATCACCTAAAACGTGTCACTCTCAAGAAGGCAGGGAGGATGTAGAATAAGCCTGTCTGGAGGATCCAAGCGGGAGGATACGCCGGGATGATTAGGGAACAGTGAGGGGGGGCGTCAGGGGCCGTAAATACCCCCCCCCCCCCATCGAGGCGGCATGTCCAGAGTTTGTAGCTGTGAAAAGCGCTAACTGGACATCACAGGAGAGGCACCCGGCAGAGAGCCGTCTTGAGAGATGGGCCACGGGCCTCGAGCCACGGGACTCTGGATCAGCGTCAGCGGCATCAGCCTGGTGACTGGAGATCCCAGGCGGGGGGGGCGCAGGTGCCTACCACAAAGAGACAGAGAGACCTTCAGCGGGCGGCCAGACAAACAGCACACTGAACACCTACAACAGCAATGGTTCAGTCCTCCTTAAGAAACATCATCAGCTTAACATCCACCTGATCTTTGACTTAGAATTTGCGGTCTTTTCGGAGAGCGGGATCACCCACTTCGTTCCAGAGGCTCGTCCCGGGTCTGTCAGCACGACCCGAGCGCCCTCCTGCAAGTGTGGTCTGGTGGTTCCAAGGTCAGAGCTCAGAGAATGGCAGAGGAACGATCCGAGCAGCTTTTCAGACACACTGAGACGGGACCCTCTACACACGCAGAGGGATGTTTCAGTGTTAAATGAATAGATCTGAGCGCATAGCGGGGCTGCTTTTGAGACGAGATCCTCTACACAGACACGCGGCGCCATTAGGACATAGAGAGAATGAGAGAAGGCGAGCGGGTGTGGGCGTGGGGGGGGGGCGGTGACAGGGCTCTGTCTCTCCGCCACACTCGAGCGGAACACGCTGACACGGCTGTCAGGAGGCCCCGGCTTCCTCCGCAGCCTAACATGCTCTACAGCTTCACCCAATTAACTCGCCTTCACTTGACATGGCAGCAAAGAGCTTCATAATAGGCGGTCAGGGTGCAGGAGCGGAGCGGGCCGCGGGCCGGCCGCCTTAACGACCCGGGATGGGGGTGTGCATGCTGGTGACACTGTGGCTCTGGCCCCCACGGGGATGGATGTCGCTTCAGTATGGATCAGAACCCAGGGCTCATCCCCCTGCTCTCCCTCCCTCGCCTTCCTCTTGTTTAATAGCTAAAGGTTTTTTATTTTAAAACATTCAGCTAAACTTTCCTAAGGGGATCTCTCTCTCTCTCTCTCTCTCTCTCTCTCTCTCCCGGCTCTGATCCGACACGCCGTCCCCTCCGGGCTCCCAGCTACCAACCCATTACAGCAGCGCTGCTATTCCAGCCGACGGCAGACATGAGAAGGTGAGTGACGGCACACGGCCCGCCGCCTGTCTCCGCAGAGCCTTAACGAAGTGCACGAAGCCTGTCTGTTTCTGTTCACCTACAGCACAGAAACTTCTAGAAGCTCTCAGGTACCACCATGATCAGGGCATTGCTGGGGTTCACAGGTAGCTTGCACAGCATGAAGGGGAAATGCCAGGGCGCCGGCACGTAAGGACTTTCCGGGACATTCCTGACACCTGGGAGGAAATCAGGGAGAAACCTGAAGCACAAGGTGTACGGACACCGGCAAATCTGTGGTACCACTTTTGTTTTCATGTCTTGTGCCAGGACCTGCTCTCCAGCCAAGCAATTGATCACACAGCAGGGACAGGCGACGCCCACAGGACGGGCCCCACCCCTGGACAGGAAACACCGGCAGGACGAGCCCCACCCCTGGACGGGTCCCACTCCTGGACAGACCACACCCCTGGACGGGTCCCACTCCTGGACAGACCACACCCCTGGACGGGTCCCACTCCTGGACAG